ATACTGGCTGGTTGTGGGGGGGGGGTGGGGGGGGTTTCAGCCAAAGTTCAAAATGGTTGGAGGAAAAACTTCCCTCCCCATACCACGTTCCTTGTCTATAAATACTGTTGTCCAAACCTCTCAAGGAGATGGGACGGGAAAGGGAGGAAACACAGGTCAAAAATCCCTTGTTCTGGCTAATTTCCCTGGATTTTTTGGTTTCTATCAGAGCGATCGACGGAAGATTCTATTCTCCATAACTTCCGGCGGAGTCCCTCTAGAACGAGTTTCTAGGCATTCTCCCTATTGGAAGCGGTAACAAAAGCTCCCCGAAGCATTGAAATCCCTTAACCATGGCCTAACACCCCCTGATTACGCCCAAACGTGTACAAAAATAAGCGGTCAATTGTAGTACAATTTGAACGGTCGATCCCACGAGGAAGTGTTAAATTGAACAAGAAATGATTAGCAAATAAAAAGTGTTAGGAAAGTAAGCAATCAAACAAAGAAAATGAATGAGTGTTTTTTATGATTTTTTGAACAATTTAAAATGGAAAAAATTCAATAAATAAAAGTGGTAAGGCTTTGAGAATCCTCCATATGCTTTGTTTACCTATTTGGATTTTGATTCATAAATTGACTCAATTGAAAGTTTCACATCCCAAACAATCAATCGGAAAATAAATATTTGAAGAACATATGAATTAAAAATGTATTCGAGTAAATAAAATTCTAATGTTTAGAATTAGGAAAAATTATCTTATGAGAAATCTAAGAGCGACAATATACCGTTGGTAATAATGCAGTAAAAGACTACTCATAAAACAATACCTATCAATATATAATATAATGCAACAATCACATAAAAAGAGCTTGACTAGATTTATATGAAAGTTGACAATAAAATATATTGATAAGAAGAAGAAATATGATAAAAGAAAATTATTTAATCAAATGTATAAAACTTACAAACCATTGGAGAATCAAAAATCCAAACAAGTTCACTACACATATAAGATCATCTCTAGCCTCACCTAAATACTCTAGCCTAACTTGCACATAATTCCCATAAAATTCTAAAAAGAAAGTATGAGAATAAGAACAAGAAAATAAGAGAAAATATGTGAGAATTTAGGCTCTAAAAAATCCACACTTAATCACCTTGACAATGACCCTATTTACAGAGTTTTGAGAATGCTAAAAAGCTAAAAATCAGATCCTAATTAAGAAGTTACAAGGCTTAATCAGAGGAGAAAAACCATCACATTTCTGAAGAGTGGGACACGTGTCACCAGACGATTCGCGTGCGGGAGAAGAAGTGCTGCACAGCTGGGCCACGTGGAGAAATGCTTGACGC